CTGTCTTTGGACGTATTTCTCATTACTTCTTTGCAGTCTTCTCCGCACCAACTCCAAAACTTGTTGATATTCTCGGATGTTTGTATCTTCCCAAGGCCGCTCTGGCATTATTCCTTTCATAACATATTCCGGGGTTTCTTTTGTCACCGTGCTCGGGATCGTATTTAAATATTTTTCTATTTCTGTTATTTTTCTGTCCCATCGATTATGTTGTCCATCTGTAGCAATACGAAGAAATTTTGTTACCTCTTGGATAAATCTTTCCGACGGATTGCTCTGAGGGTGACGAATGCTGACAAAATTTGTCTCTATTCCTCTTTCCCTCAGCTGTCCTTTGAAACAATCGTTTCCAAAATACGTCGCGTTACAATACAATACAATCCTCCTTGGCGTTCCTACGGAATCTATGAAATCGTCGATTTTTCTCAATATTTCTACTCCTTTTGTCGTGCGACAACTATACCATTTCACATATTTTGAAAATACATCTACCATTACCAGGATGTGTTTATTTCGTTGATTTGTTATGATTAAATCACTCAACATATCGATTGCTACGATGTCCAATTTGTTTTGATATAAGATGTTTTTGGCAACATTTTCATTTTTATAATTCTTACTTTTATATCTTTGACATTTACTGTACTTTTGGGTCATCTTCTTAGCTATACAATAATCTTGTCGACAAATATAATTTTCACGGAAAACTAACCATACTTTCCGGGCTCCAATATGTCTGTTGCTTACATGTAGGTTTTCCATCAGTTTCTCGGCCAGTGTTGGTGTCACCAAATATAATTCTTTTCCTTCAATTCTCTTAAAGAAAATATCATCTTCTCTTTCTGCTCTTCTTTTATCCTTTTCCTCCAAACCTTCTTGATTGCTTCTTATTTCATTAATCGAGAAAATACCGTCTTCTTGTGCCAATCGGTTTAAATCTACCTGCAATTCAATCGTATCCTTTTTTCCTGTTTCTTCATCCCGGGTTAAAGCATCGGCTATGATGTCCTTTCCTCGGATGTACTTGAATTCAAAATCGTACTCTTATAGTAACAAAATTCCTCGATGTATCCTGTTATTTACTAATCAATTCTTCATGATGTGGACTAAAGCGGCATGATCCGTCTCGATTGTAAATTTCGCTCCCAATAGGTAGAATCGTAGCTTCTCAACACAAAATAGTACACTCGCGAATTCGAGTTCAGTAACGCTATATTTTCTTTCATGTGTTTTCGTTACTCGAGAAATAAAAGATATCGGGACTTCCTGTTCATTCTGTATTTGTGATAAAACCCCAGCAAATTTTTGAATTGAAGCATCGGTTCTCAGAATAAATGGTTGGTGGTAAATAGGATGATACACCTTATTTCTTTTGAGAACTCTTCTTTTAATCTTGAGAAAGCTTTTTCTTGTTCTTCCTTCCAATTCCATCTAATTCCTTTTTTTAGTAATTTAATTAGCGGTATTTGTTTCTCGCTTATGTCTGGGATTAGTTTTTTAAAGTAATTCACCATTCCGAGAAAACCTCTCGAAGTTTTCAAATTTTTCGGTCTCGGATAATCATTTATTAAATTTACTCGGTCTTCCGCTAGAGTAATTCCGCTCGTGTCCAGTTTAAACCCTAAATACACTACTTCCTTTTGGAAGAATTGGCATTTTTCTATGTTTAGTTTCAAACCAGCCTGATCCAATTCTTCCAGCACCAATTTAATGTGTTTCAAATGACTTTGCGTATCCGGAGAAAAATCAATAAATCGTCTATATAGTGGACAATAAAATCAACCAAAAACTATGTCTTAAATCAATTTTGGAAAAAATATGTGACCCAGTTATTCTTCCAAAAATAGCCTCAATAATTAATGTTGATTCATATTGGGATACTGTATGCTGGTTGATGTTTCTTGGATCTAAACATAGCCTTAAATCTCCACTGCTTTTCTTCACTATCACTATTGGATTGACATAGGGTGAATCACATCTCTCTATAATCTGATCTTTCAACATTTTCTCGATTTCTCTTTTCACATCTTGTCGATAAACTCCTCTTTTTTTTGAGGAAATCCATTCTTTAATTTCTTCTATCCTTTCCTTTTCTGGGCTCGTCTCATATGAGGAATGCCAACCATTGACTTTTTCTAGTAACATCTCTTTTGGGGAATTCCATTCTTTAAATGCTTCTACCTTTTCCTTTTCTTCTTCTTCTGGACTCGTCTCTTTTGAAGAATGCCAGGCATTAACTTCTTTTATTCTTCTCTGATTGCACCTTCTCATGTTTCTTTGTCCTTGTTTTGTTGCCAAATTCATTTCTACTATTCCTTTTTTATCCGCTTCATCTATATTCCTTGTTTCATTGTCCTTGTCGTTATCCAATTTTTCTTCCAATGTTACCACTTCATTCTCGATTTTCATGGTTTTATCATTAAAATCCAACACTATATGCTTTTCCGATAATTTGTCTACTCCTACTATCATATCATGCGACATATTTGGCATTATCACACATTGCAATGAAAAAAATTTCTTTCCCAATCATATCCTAATTCGTATCCCATCATTTATCGTTGCTAACGTTCGTTTATTCGCGCCCACTAAATTTACCCTAGGTATTTTATAAATTAAATTTGTCAAATTAACTTCTTCTATCAACTTTCTATTTACCAGCGAGATTTCAGAACCTGAAGCTATCATAATTTTTATGGGTGTTTCATTTATAAACCCGTTTACATATTTTAAATTTGATCCATTTTCTTTGTCCTTATGTCCTGTGAGTTTTGTAAATTCCTTTGGGTGACAAAAAATTCCGGTGTTTTTCTTTGTTTTTAGTGCGCCCCTTTGCAAAAGTTCTCCTGTTGTCTTTCTGTACTGTTCTGTCCTCGCATTGTCTCTCTTCTCCGTATTCTTCTATTTGTGTGTTATTTACCTCTCTTCTCACTGCTCCTGGCCTTTCGGAGTTGTATCTGTTGTCCCGATATCCTTGTTCATTTGTCCTCCTGGAATTGATATTTTCTTTATAGTCTGTGTATGTATTTCTATTGTGGTTTTCTCTGTATCTGTCTCGGTTTCCTTGCTGGTTCCTGGATTCGTATCTCTCTCTCCTGTTGTCTCTATTTTCGTATTCTCTTCTCGGGATAAATTCTCTTTTAGGTCGGTCTTGACGATAATTTTGTCTCCTATCTCTGTTTTCCTGCATTTCTTGTGGTATCCTAGTTTTTCTGTCTCGTAAATGTGATTCTCTTATTTGTAAAAATTGACAGAGACTATCAATGTCTTTGTAATTTTGCAAAGTGATGTGGTCTTCTAATGTTCTCTCAAACTGTCTGGCAATCAATTCTACCAACTTTTCTGATGAATAATTGTACTCTAAATGTTTGGCGTTGTTGTAGATCTGTAAAGCATAGGTTGATTGTTGATCTCCAATTGCTGTATTTTGTCCCAGAAATAGTTCAAAAATCTTTTCTCAAAGTTTTCCCAATTGGTAAATTCCTCTTCTTTACTGCCAAACCATAAACTCGCCTCATCTTTAAGATGGTTCCTTATCATTTCTTTAGCTGTTTCGAAGTTACTGATGTACAGCACTTTCTTTTTTAAATTCTTTATGAAAATTACTGGGTGTAATTTTTTTATGTCCTTGCCAAACCTTATTTTCACCTCATCTGTACTATGGATAAGCATTTCCCTTCTTTCTCCAGAATTTTGTTGCATCTTGATTTCCGCAATTTGTCTTTCATTCTGCTTAACTTTTTCTTCTATTTCCCGATTGTCTTCTTGTAACGCCTTTTCAAATTTGATTTCCAAGTTCTCTAGCTCCTTTTTATGATTGTTCTTTATCTCCTTCATTTTATTTTGAATCTGTTTCTTGCTCTTTTATTTGATCATTAATTCTCATTTCTTGCTGTCCCATCTCATTCTTCATCATTGTCAAACATCCTTTTATTTCCTTTTCATACTTTTCTATGCGTTCCTCCATTTTTTTGTTGTTCTCCTCTATGGCTTGTTTTGTTTCCTGTTGATTTTTATTTATTGTTTGATTTATTTGTTGTTGTGATTCCAAGGTTTCTTGTTGATTTCTATCCATTTTTTGTGATTGTATTTGCATCAGTTGTAATATTTTCTCTAATCCTGATAATTCCTGACTTTCTCTCTCCATAATTGTTGTTTCGAAAATGTCTTCTTATTCTAAATGTTCTTGTTTTTTTGTTTTCTTTATTTTTGCTTTTGCAGAATTCATCGATATAAATTTCATCTCCATAGACATTGTTCTATCTTACTACACTAGTACCAAAGAATATGAGTCTACATTCTTTGCTAATACCATTATTTTTTGAAAACAATTTTGGGAGTAGAAAACAAAATGTAGCAGTTAAAAATTTACTTTTAACAGTTAATTGTAGTTTATGTTCTGTAAAACATTATATTTAATTTAGACATGCTATATAAAAACAGGTTCAGAACCTATAAAACATGTGGTTTAAATATATGGTAATTATTTACATTAGTGAGAAAATATACAAATATTTTGCATGAAGATAGTCTATTGCAACAACTATGTGAGAATATGATATTGAGGTTTACACTTTAAAGTCACACGATATGTCTCATAATTTAAGTTTTTACAAGGTTGGGGGCAAATTAGATTAAATTAATAAAAAAACAAAATAAATCCATTGGCAGATAGAATATAGCAAATAAACATATGCTATAAACATCCAAGCCCATAAAAGAAATTAACTTATACTATGACATTATTAGTTGTCTTAAAGATCCAAAAAAATAAAACCTATTAATACTTACATTTTGATATAGTTGTTTTAAAATGATGGCATTTCTTTGATGTACTGCAGTGGTTCGTTGGCAATTTGAAAACACCTCGCAAATTTCTTTTTTAAGCGGTAGTTTTGTTTTTTCTCTATCTTTTTTAACATGCATTTTGCTGGATTTTTATTTGTTCTTACTAATTTTTTTTTTCTTACTAAAACTGTGCTAAAACTTTTTGTTTTTATGTAGATAATAACAGTTGATGCACACAGAAGCAATTCTTTGACAGAAGTTTAAATTTGACTTTGACAATATTTGACATATATTTTTATCCATGGTACAATAAACTCTATGTTTTTATCCGGATTCACAACGGTTTTGTCACAGAATAATAAACAATCAGAAGGGCCACTCTCAAATGCCGCCTTTGAAGTTTTTCAGCATGCGCGCCATGTTTTAATGATTTGTGTGGTTATGTAATTGTTTATATTTATGTTTAATTGTATTATATTTATGTTATTATATTTACCAATGTTAATATAATTGTATAGTATGTCTATGATTGCCGTAAGTTAAATAAACTTGGTTAATTTTTCCATGCACACCACATAAACAACACTAATTTTTTTAAAATCCTCCTAAAACATGGCGGAACGTCTGCGCGGAGGAGATGCGCGTACTTAATTTTCCGTGGAGAGTGGGTATTCTGTTTGTTTATTATTCTGTGGTTTTGTATAGCAGGCACAGATCGTGAAATGTTAAGTAAACGATATGAAGTATATATTCTTTGATTTTATTATTCTATGTTCTGTGCATATTGCCATGGCATGTACAACCTAACCTGCCTAATCTAACCAAAGAAAAAATCTCTTTTAAGTTTAAACGTCAAACTGAGAGTTGTATCTATTAAATGTTTTTGTAATTTTGAAGTAATAGGATGGTTAACGTTAATGAAAGTCAGATCAGAAACATTGGAAAGGTTTTAAATGACTCGTCGAGACCTTTAAAAGAAAGATTTCGTGCTTTATTTACACTAAGAAACATCGGAGGTGAGTTATCCATTCACTGCATTGCAACCTGCTTCTCTGATTCATCAGTATTATTAAAACATGAATTAGCATACTGTTTGGGTCAAATGCAAGATGAAAAAGCCAATCCAATACTCACCCGAATTTTGGAAGATGTAAAACAAGAACCTATGGTTAGACATGAAGCAGGTAAGACGTTTTAACATCGCAATAAATTTTCACAAACCGAATTGTTTTTAAGGGATTGTCCCAGGTATTCCTGGGATAGTCAATTGAATATGCAGTGCAAAAGTAAATATAAAATGATTTTTAATTATCATATAAAGGAAACATTCCGAGCAGTTGGCTATATACCATAATATACTATAGTTTATAAAAAGGAAGTATAAAACATCTAGTGTAATTGTTATATTAACCCAATTATTATACTTTTGTTCACTGATCCCAGTTCCAACTGTCTAGTAAATTTGGTAATTATTTATTACTAGATTGGTTAAATTTTGACCAACAGGCAGTGGCTTCCTTTTCAATTAATGAAGTCTGCAAGAGTAATTTTATTTCAGCTATTAATAAGGTGTGTATGTTACCTTTTAGTCAAAAATCTATAACTATCAATATGGCATTTAATTAACATTCAGTTAACATTTTTTATATAAACTAAAGGTTTATTAAAACTTTTGTAAGGGGCTTTTTGCAAATATTTTAATTATCAATGATGATGGTTCAATAGGACCAAAAACGGTTTGATAAATTCTTTAATCATTTTTGGATGGGATTCTTATCAGAACAGCCAACAAGTAAGCACATTAAATTCTAATTATTTGTTTTTCTTTTTGTGCAAAAGTTGACAGTATATAATAAATATTGAAGTAAATTTTATTTGGGTACTGTCACATCTGGAATGGAAGGTAACAAGGTTGTAGATGAAATAGCAAAAAATGCACCTAAGTACTAACCCAAATGCAGAAGACAGCATGAAATCTCTACACATCGACCTGAGGGCATATTTTAAAGAAGAGATTAATACAGTATGAGAGGATAGATGGAAGAACTCCTCATCTAAGTGAAAATTGTACGAAGTTGATATTAAACATCATAAAATTGCAAAATTAAACAATAGAAGAGAACAAGTAACCTTTAGACCATGGGTGGTCAAACTGTCGATCGCGATCGACTGGTCGATCGCGAGTGCTTTTTGGGTAGATCTCGAGAAGAAAAAAAATTTTAATAAGTAGGTAGGTAACTAAACTACTGTCAGCAGAGTTAAACGTTTTTATTAATACTGAACTATACAAATACATAGAATGCTTGACTAAGCATCATTGCAATTCAAAGTCAAACAACAACAAAATACTGTCCACACAGCATATTTTATATTTACATATATTAACTAATTATTTTATTAATTCAATATTTATTATAATTATTAATCAAATTTGGGATGATATTCTATCAACTACAAAAATGTATTACGTAATAAAATAACACTGCTTGCGGCAAAAGGTGGCTTTATCAAAGGAACGCGCGGCACTTGTCAAAGAAAAGCTGTGTTGTTTCTATACGAGAGACAGTACAGTCTAGTTTCGGGCGGCGCGTTTGACGGAAACATTCGAGACTTTCGTTCACGCCGATATAAATGTTGTGCCTGTAGGAATTGGAGTTATTCTGAATTGTAACTTGTTAGCGATCCTACGTCGATACAAAGTTTATTATTAAATAGTGGAAAATGAGTGCAGTGAAGAAATCTAAAATGTATCATTTTAATAAGGATTGGGAGGAAGAATTTTTCTTTTCTATGGTGAAGTATAAGTGCATTTGTGTTATTTGTCGTGTGTCAGTTGCAATACTTAAGCTTGGTAACTTAGAGAGGCATCATAAAACGGTTCATAAAAACTATGAAAAGGATTTTCCGCCACAGAGTGAATTAAGAAAACGAAAAGTAAGTGATTTGATATCTTGTTTGAAAAAAGAACAATCCCTGTTCACAAGACCAGCCAAACAATCAAAAGCTGCTACGATCGCGTCATTTAAAATATCTCATATTTTGGCGAAACACAAGAAACCATTTGAAGATGGATCGGTGGTGAAGGAAGCATTTATTGAAGCGGGTGAGACTTTATTTGGAGATTTTAAAAATAAAACAGAAATCATGTCTGCTATTAGAGAACTTCAGTTATCTCGTCCGACTGTCACAAGGCGTATTGAAGTCATGAGTCAAGACATCGCAGATAAACTAAAACATGATATCATGGAATGTACATACTTTTCTTTACAGTTCGACGAATCCATCGATATGACAGACACTGCCCAGCTGTGTATTTTTATTCAGATGGTATTCAATGACATGTTGGCTAAGGAAGAATTTTTGACAATCATTCCTCTGAAGGGGAAGACCCGTGGCGAAGATATATATGACGTTTTCTTAAATTTTGTAAAAAACTACGAGCTACCAATATATAAATTAATGTGCATTACAACCGATGGAGCACTAGCAATGACTGGAAACAAAAACGGTTTTGTGGCATTGTGTCGAACTAGTGAAGAATTCCCTTCATTTTTTTCATTCCATTGCATTATACATCAACAAGTTTTGTGTTCAAAAGTTTTAAACACGGAGGAAATTATGGGCATTGCAACAAAAATTGTGAATTCCATCCGTGCACGTAGCTTGTAACGGCGGCTCTTTCAGTTGCAGTTGGAAGATAGGGAGTCAGCTGAACACACTGATTTAGTTCTTCACACGGACGTCAGGTGGTTGAGTCGCGGAAAATTCCTAGAAAGGTTTCAAGAATTATTGCCCGAAATAACAGCTTTTCTAGATGAAAGAGGTGATGACACTCAGATTTTGAAAAATGAAAAATGGCTAAATGATTTGGCATTTTTGACTGACATCACAATGCACTTAAACACCGTTAACTTGGAGCTTCAAGGTAAAGGAAAAACTATTATTGAGATTATTAGCGCAGTAAACGCATTGAAAAGTAAATTGCAACTTATGATAGATCAACTGAAAAGAAAGGATCTGAAACATTTTCCGTCTTTGAAAGCAAGGATTCCTCAGTTGAATTATGATACATATGAGGCTGAATTATCAAATATTTTGGGACAATTCGAAATGCGTTTTTATGATTGCAGTAAATTGGAAAATATAGCATCATTTATGAGTTATCCTTTTTCATGTAAAAACGTTGAGGAATTAGCTACTGAAATAGCAAGTCATTTTAATATGAACTCGTGTTCTGTTGAAAATGAGTTGGTGCAGATTATATCAGATATACATCTCAAAGCTACAGTATCTGATACAAATTTCTGGCGTTTTATATTTGAAGATAAATATCCGAATGGAAGGCAAATCGCCCTTCAACTGACGGCATTTTTTGGGACAACTTACTTGTGCGAGTCTGAATTTTCTGAAATGAAGATAATAAGTCAAAATATGCAATCGACTAACTGACGATAATATGACATCATGCTTGCGATTAGCACTCAGTGGTTACGTACCATCTTATGAAAAGTATGCTGAGGACATGCAGTGCCACGCTTCAACATCCAAAGCCACTCCTTAGTTAAGTTTAACACCATATGTAACTCTTTTGTTTTGTAACAACAAATAAACTCGCAATTTTGAATAACTATGAGTTTTTTCATTGATATTGTAGAGAAGAACCTAACTAAACCTAACCCAAACCTTGACTAAAATAATGTACCTATATTGTGCAGAAAGCTAATATCTATATATGCTACGGTACGCCCTACCTAAGTAGGTAGGGTGTATCGTGTATGTACGACAACCCTGCATCACACACACTTGCAGTCTCTCAGAGTCGATCGTAAGTAGTCTAAAAATATTAAGGTAGATCGCCAGCAGTTCAAGTTTGAGCACCCCTGCTTTAGACGATTTCGGATTAGCCATACTCAGTTAACCCACAAGTATCTACTAAAACATGCTGATAAACCTGCACGTGAAATGTTTCAAGTGTCTTAATGGTAAAACATTGTTTATTGCAGTGCCCCAAGTATGATGTGCAACACAAAATATATAACATACTATCAACATTAAATAGTGCTCTTGGAAAAGACAGTGACACAAAACATTTTTTGCCTTCCTTAAAAACTGTAAGCTGTTGTCTAAAATCTATAATTTTACTTTGTATAGATTTATGGCTATTTCTAATTATCTATTTGTAGGGTTATTATTTTATTGTTAAGTTCTAATT